CTTCAAAGGGAACGTCCCAACACCCCTCTCTTCTAGTGAAAGGAAGAGTATCAGTGACAAACTAAATGCAATGGCCATGGTCACCAGCAAACTATTGGTGTAGAATGATGGCACATGACAAAGCCATACTCTCAGCCAATTCCAAGTTAGCAAAAAAGTTTCATTAAAAAATCAGTTGGCAGAGTGGCTCAAGTGGTAGAGTGCCTGCCTAGCAAGCATGAGGCCTTGAATTCAAACCCCAGTACTGCCAAAATACTCTTCCATATGGAAAGAAGATGAAGTCCATTAATCTGTAACTTAAACACAACATATGTGTTTTTAAAACACATCTAGAAGAACAAATTGACCATGAATCCATTTTTTAAGCAAGGTATCTGATTTCCCCCCCCTTTGGCAGTATGGGATTTGAACTCAGGGCCTCACATTACTAGGCAGGCACTCTCCCTCTTGTACTACTCTGCCAGGCCTTTCTTGTTGGTTATTTTTGAGATAGAGTCTCCTTTATGCCCAGGCCATCCTGGGCTGCAGCCCTCTTATTTACACTTCCCAGCAGGATGATAGGAACACACCACCACGTCTAGTCATTAGTTGAGATGGAGGAGGGTGCGGGCAGGGGGGAGTCTCACAAACATTTTTGCCTAGACTGGCCTCAAATCTCCTTCCTCTCCATCTCTGCCTCTCAAGTAGCTATGATTTTAGACTTGAGCCACTTCTCCTGGCAAGACATTTAATTTGAAGATGTTAGAATGTTATTATTATCTGGTTTCTTCAACATGGAATTTCAGAGGAAGATTTGAAATTCAACACTCTGTCATAATTTTTTGCTCAATTGTCTAACTTCTTTTAAAAGAGCCAAAGTTGGGAGCCCATGATGAAGAAAATTAATACATTACTAAGTCTCAAACTGAAACCTTCCACCTCTCATCCCAAATCTCTAGGAAAACATAAAATACTTCTCAAAAATCCAGAACCATGTTGAAAAATTAGAGAGCATATATTGATGAATAAGAAACTGTGAGGATGCTGGAGCAAGAGAAAACAGGAACAGAAGTAAGGAAAGCAGTGGGGCTCCTTTTTGAAGGAGGCTTTAGGCTGAGCCAAAACTAGAGAGGAAAAGATTGCAGAATAGGCAAGTCACAAGTGACAGGTAAGAAAACTTCCAGAGACCCCTTCCTGCCCTCCCACCTTGGGCATGCATTCAAAACAGCTGTAGAAAAGCAGTCAGTGAGGAGACTTCACAGGAGAAAACTAGTTATACCATTTGCTGGTGATGGCACCTAGGGCTCCAAGGGTCACCAGCACAGGAAAGTGTGTGTCACTCAGAAGACTAATCACTGGAGATGGTGAAAATTATAAATCAATGGCTGAGAGGAAAAAATTCAGAAGCAGGAGAAATAGCCAAATAGCAAAGTAGTGAGAGAACAAATTCTCTCATAATGCAAGCAGAAGAAGACAAGGATACATGGAAATTCTTAAAGAAGCACTGAGAGGATGCAACCATAAGTAAATATCTCCATCCAATGAGAATTCCTGGATGAAAAGTAAATGGAAAGAAAACACAAAGTAAACCAATAAGAACACTTTTCCAGAACAAAAGACATGAACAAGGGCGCCCCTTGTGCCAAAGAGAATTAAAAAAATAATTCCCACACTCACTTTGTGGTGAAATTTAATAAAATGTATAAGAGGAAAAACCTCAAAACTTCTAGAAGAGAAAGAAAAGTCTAAGTTACCTGACCAAAAAAATAAGCATCAAACTGACCTCAGCAACACTGACAATAAAAAGAAGGTGGCACAATATGTACAAAGTTCTAAGTGTTTTGAACTTGGAATGTTTGCTCAACCAATTACATCAACAAGGAAAAGATACAGGCTGATTTTCCACCACATAAAAAGTTGGAGACTTTATTTTTTCAATTTCTCTGAAAGAAATATTAATAGACACACATCAGCAAAAGGCAAAAATCACTTTAAGGGAAGCCCTAGGGCACAAGAGTCAATGATCTACAAAAATCATTATTTTTCAAGAAAATTAGGTAATAACCTAGCAACAAAATCCCAGACCACATCAAGCTGAGGGATGGATGGAAGAAATACAGGGTAGTGAAAGTGTCATGTCCTGTCTTTGGGTGTTATCTCTAGATACCTGCAGAAAATATGTGTTGAATGGGGAACCAATGGCTCATACCTGTAATCCTAGCAATTTGGGAGGCTGAGATTGGGAGGATCTCAGTTGGAGGCCAGCCCTAGCAAATAGTTTGCAACACCTCACCTCCAAAAAATAACAAGAGTAAAATGGACTGAAAGTATGGCTTAAGCATAAGAGCCTGCTTTGTGAATACAAAAACCCTGATTTCAAATCCCAGTCCCACATATATACATGAAATTTGTGTAGTAAACATTTTGTCTTTATATATTTTTCCAAAAGAACGGAAATATAATTTACAACTTTCAAACAACTAAGAAAAAAACACATGAAGAAAGAACACGTCAATGAAAATAAAGAAAACACCAGAAAAATGAGCAAAGGTAGGCAATTCACTAAAGCACAAACACAATTCAATAAGCATATTAGGTACTCAATAGCAATCAAGAAAATACAAACTGAAAAAGCAATGACAACATTTTTTAGAGAGACAAAACTAAGAACTTTGCCAATATTGAGGTATAACTTGCTAGAGTGGCTAAAAATGGATGTAGCCAAATTTTAATGCAGAAACCATGTAAACTAAAAAATTCTGCTTCCTCTTATATACTCTAGAAAAATCTATGCACTTGTACACAGGTGCAAAGAGCATGAATAAGGATATTTGTGGAAACATTACTGTAATAATAAAATATGAGAAATAAGCAAAATGCCCACCAACAGGGGATGGGTGGGAATGCCCACCAATTACATTTGATGTAATTAAGATATATTCTACCATGAATATTATGGCAATGGTTAAAAAGAATGTGATAGATCCTTGACTACCAATCTGAGTTGATCATGAATGAGGAAAAAACAAGCATTATGTATAATATAGGAAATTATTTTTATAACAAAACTTACCAATATTATTTGCATGATTACAAATTAGTAAAAACACTGAAAGAAAATAAAAACTAATGGGGAAAGACAAAAGTGATGGGAAAACAAGTGTGTTACTTCACCTGACACAGTCTAAAAAAGTTTTTTGAAAAGCATTATTGAGATTGAAATGAATTATGAATTTAGTACGAGTGTAACTGTTCAGTCTTAATCAATCAAGCCTATGTCTTCATGAGAGTGGATTGAAAAATCTCACTCTCACACACATATTCCACTGAAGATTTGTAAGAAAAAGAAATAGAAATTGTTGAAAATAGACAAATTAAGAAAAATGAGTACCAATTCACTTCCTAAACCCCATCTATCTAAATCACAATTTTGCCAATAATACACAAGCTGAGATGCACCACTGAAATGTTATCAAGACAATGTGGCCAAAAATTAGCATTGAAAAAGTAGAATAGATTTCAGAGGAGGGCAAAGCAAATGTCTGTTCAGAGGTAGCGTGTGACATGAGAGCAGGAGTCAGATGCTCTCTCTTCCTCTCAGTGTCTGCTGGACGAGTGTGGTCACAACAGTCATGGGAATTGAGGAGCTGGCCAAATGGCCAGGTGACTTGACATTGAATCTCTTGTCTTTCTAGGCAGCTTCTGTCAGTGGTACAAATGTGTACCAGAACAGAAAACAGTAATTCTTTCTTTAATTGGGAAAAGATACATATCAAAAGCTGGGTTTTTAAAAAGTGTTGACTGGCAAAAAAAAAAAATGTCAAAAGAAGTTATCAAGAGAACAAAGACTGATTCCCCAATTATGAGACTAAAGCACTCTATATGTGGCAGAAAAATCTGTGGGAAGGATAGGTTGCTCTCTTCTGTGGTCCTACTAGGTCAGAAAAAACAAACAAACACATGTTTATTTTTTAATTACACTAAGAGTAGAGTAAACAGCAACTATATTTTTTCTTAAATAAAAATGCACCTCAAATAGGGTCCCCTGAAAATGGAGAATCAATTGTGTTTGGTTAATACACAGTCACTGTGGACAAGAGGAGAGTGTTACATGGTGTTCTGCTCTATCACTAACCACTAGGCAAGATCACACATAATTGTTTGTGTAGTTGTGAACTGGTTGACTAACTGATTAAAATCCCAATGAAGGAATAATATACATATGCGGGTATCATAGAGGTATGTCACAGAGTAGTAAAATCCTAGCCAGAGAACTTTGATTTTCCTTCCTTGCAGCATGGTAACGCTCACATAGAACTGTGATTTTGCCATACGGTGCCCTTTTAAATTCTGAAGATAGAAATGCTGAGATGAGTGGGGGACAACAGTAAGTAGGAGATCCTGAACCCAGACATGGGGACAAGCAGGTGTAAGGACAGACGTGGGGCACTGCACCAAAACATACAGACATCTGGCAGTAAGATAAGTTTAAGGGAATGTGCTCAACTCAATCCCTTTTGTTTGCACTGCCAGGACATTTGTTCCATCCTGAGGTCCTTCCCTCTACATGTGTATGTGACTGGTGAAGAGTCACACTCTTAGCAGTTCGGATGGATAGATGGATGGATGGGTGGATAGATGGATGGATGGGTGGATAGATGGATGGATGGATGGATAGATGGATGGATGGATGGATGGGTGGATAGATGGATGGATGGGTGGATAGATGGATGGATGGGTGGATAGATGGATGAACAAATGAACAAAGGGATAAATTATGTACTTTTTCTCTGTGCACTTTGAAGCCAGTCATTCAGCATTAATGTATTTACAAAGAATACTCAGTAAAGTTGCTCTCAGCTGACATCTCCACAATGCACACAAATGTCTGATTCACCGGAGACATCTACAGCACACTGTATAAAATCTGGGTAGTGGTAATCTTCCCAGACTCTCCACCACACTAAGGCAATTAGAATAATTAATAGCAACTAGAATGCATTGATTTAAAAATAAATTACCACAATTGGGTATCTGCAGGTTTGCCAGGGGAATATTCTTGCTGCTTTCATTTAGGCAGTACAAATCCTGAGCTTCTGGACTGGATTTTGTCTCTTGGAGAGTCTTGATCCACATAATATCACAGGAGCATGTAAATGGGTTGCCCACCAGGATCCTACATGGAACAAAAATGAAACCCGATCAGGATCCCTTTTCAGTTTTAGCTGTACTAGTGTTTATGAAAGACTACACAGAACACTGTGAATTCTTTTTAGCCAACAACCTTTCCATTTTCAAAGCATGACAGTACTTACTATTCATTCATTTATCTAATAATACTGAACTGCTGTTATGTGAAAACACTGTAGAGGTTAAAGCAAGCAAAGGGATGCTAAACCTTGCAGAATACTAGGGAAAACAAGACATGAACAGAAAATCCTATAATATAGGATAGCAGAGAATATCTTGTAACCTGGGGGAAATAAGGCACCACAACAAGTTTATTGTGGCTGTTATACAGTTATTAAGAAGGACTTAAGTGAAGATGCCAACAAGTTTTCAGAAACACTAACATTTATCTCTGACAAAGCCAGAGACTTAAGAGTTGTCATAGAGAAAGCTCCAACTTCAGTGGGAAGCAGAATCATTTTATCTCAATTTAAAATGAGATTATAAGTAGAAATCTAAGATTGGGGTGTGAGAGGTAGGAGGTTGGCTCTCCCAGCTTTCTGCATTATGTAACCAGAGTCCATTTCATTCATGCAAGAGAGTTGAGAGGGAGAAGCTGGAAGGAAGGAGACTATAGACCTCCTACACACACACACACACACACACACTGAGCTCCAGACCCAGACTGAGCTGCTTCACCCCCTATGGGAAGATTTGCAAAGCAAAAGCAACCCACCATCCTGACCTCAACCATGCTGCCTGGACTCATGTGGCCTGCCATGGGTGAAAGAAGAAGTGGTCAAGAGGAAAATAAAAACCACAGGGAAAAAATCTTTAAATGCTTATTTATAATACTCAGTAGCCCATTTGAGCTGAATTCCATTTATGGTAATGATCCTTTAAATGAGGCCATTTAAAATCGTTACCTAGACTGACTGGCATTAACCACAATACTTAAGATTTCTTGAGGACAGGTCCTGGGTTTTACAACATCACTTACTCCTGTGGTTTTCTGGTTGGATTCTAGGAAATCTCAGGATCCCTGGAGTCTCTTCTGGTAGTTTCTTTGGGGAAAATGTGGTTATGATAGACTGGTTTAATTTGTGTCTGCTTGATCTCCTCTAACTATCTCGCCAATATTAAAACAGAATTTGCTGCTATGAGATATATAGCATTATGCAGACGAGAACCACAATCAGTAATCCAAGATGTTTCCTAGAGTTCTGAGTACATGGAAAACTAAAGTCTTTTTTAAAAGAGGGCATAACTAAGGCAGTAGAATGGATAAAGAACGGAAGGAATGCTTAAATTATGATATAGCAACGTTCATATCACCACACAACACTGCACACAGCTGGCTCCTTCCTCTAGCCCACTGTGCAGACTCCTTTCACAGTAATTATTATAGCACATTACACTGAAAGAACAGAATCCTTGACACAGAAACTTTTCTCCTTATATCCCCACGGTCTAGGTATTCTGATATATGAGGCACATGATTAATGAATTGATTAAATGTGCTGTAGGGAAAATATTGAGGCATGAATATGAAATCAAAACTCTATTTTCTAATCCTTTCAGGAAATGCTCAACATTTTTCCACTGGTGCCTTACTTGACATCACACATCTCCCCTTAGTTTTCATGTCTATTCTTGTGTTGGAAATGCAAAAGGGCACAGAAAGACAAATGTCACATAATCTCACTCACATGATAGAGCTGAGTAAATTGTCTTCATAGAAATAGGGTGTAGAACAGTGGCTAGCAGAGATTGAGCAGAGTAGTAGGGAAGGGTGATAGTTGATGGCTGGGTATAAAACTATAGTTAGGCAAAAGGAGTAATTTGTAGTGTTCTATTGCATAGTAGAGTGATTATGGTCAACAATCATTAATATTTCAAAATAGCAAGAATAAAGGATTGTGAATGTTCCCAACAAAAAGAAACAGTAAACATTTAAAATGATGGATATGCCAATTATCCTGATTTGATCATTATACATTATATAATATATATCAAAATATCATACTACCCCATATATGTACTACTATTAAATATCAATTTTAAATAAATCTTACAAAAGAAACACAAGTTTTTTCAACTCCCTCAACTCAATTTATTCCAAATAATTGCCAATTTCCAAGACTTCTACATATAGGCCCCATTCCTAACTAGTGGCATCTTCCAGTCCACACAATTTCTTTGGGAACAGATGGACTTTCATAAAAAGATACCCCATGATTCAAACAACACCCAGTTTAAACAAAGCCTCTTCCTGATCTTAAAGGCCATGACCTCTGGGCCCACATGTGCCATACAAAGGCTCTGCCTTAGGGCTCTTTTGAGCACCTTACTGCAGGATTGACAGCAGTTCATATTTGCTTCATAGTGATAAGACTGAGCACACTTGGAAATACTGGCTGTTAGTCATCAATACATTTCAATGCTTTTCATATCATTCTACAACAGAGGAAATTAAGACATAAGGATAAATATTGAACACAGTGGCTGGCCTCAATGAAAAGCTCACAAAGATGGGTGGGTGGGTAAGGAGAACAACCTCTCTCCCAACATTCACTATACTCAAGCTGACACTGTAGTGGATGGAGTTTTGTTCTCATTATTCCCTCTTTCATGAGTTTGCTTTACTTTAGGGCTGGATGTAACAGACAGCAAACATTCTATATGATATAAAGCCTTTTTAATGTAAAGCCCCTGCTTTTTCTCTTTTCTCTCTATTAGAAAATAAATTATTCATGTAAAACCCACATTCATACTTATCATCAGTGATATATTACCACTCAGATTCCTGTTTTGTGATCACTGAATCATGTTCTCATGAGGGAATAAGAGAACAAGAGGACAAAACTTGAGAAACCATTTTTCAGAAATTTTGATATAAACATAAACTTGCAACAGCACTCATTTTAAAAAATGCTCAATTACCCTTTCTTTGAAAAAATTCTCCCAAATGCCATCATTACTTACAGCTCAGACAAGTCAAGGTGACGGAAATGTTTCCTAGACAAACTCGTCAGCTTATTTCGGGTGAAATTGCTGAAAGAAATCAAATACATTAAGTGTGAATTTAAAATGTTACAATTTAGGAACAATGTGTTCAAATAGAGATTTTGTTTTCAAAATATAATTCTATTTTATCACAGTATATGTTTTAACTTAGATCCAATCATCTCTTTCTTTCACCTTAAACTATAGCTTCTTTTTTTCCCCTTGCCTTTCCTACAGTCTTTGCTTATTGGGAAGGGGGAAAACTTTTTCATAGCATCTATTTTATTTTCTCTGTTTTACCCCAAAGCTTATGTTTCATATGTTTATTGATAGTCAAATTATATGTCCCATAGAGATACCGATCCTTTGAACAATTAGTAGGAAGATATGTAAAATACAATACAATTTAAAAATATAAACTCACTAGAGAAAAAAAGATACTTTAAAACTAAACAGCATCATGAATATTTTGAGGTTATGTGGCATACAAAGCTTGAATAGTAGTGGAAATGTCTTTATAGGAAAGAACATACCTACTGATACTGATATTCTGCTGAGGCTGTTTATATATATGACCTAGATAAGTGAATGATTCCATGATGAGAACAAGGAAAAAAAATCAGATAATAAAGAATATGGCAGATTTTATCTTGAACTAGTCTAGCAACATACTATCTTGACATTTGAACCAACCAATGAAAAGATGGCATATTTGTGGTTTAAAAAAAATAATGACTTTTCTGGCATGTTCCAGATACACAGTTTTATTGAACAGATGGGAGTTTCCAAAGAACAGGGCCATGAGACCTTGGGATGGGAAACTCTCAACCATTGTCCTGGCAGCTGATTCACTCTATGGATTTGTTTAGTGTTTGAATTTACTTAAAGTATGCCCAAGACTTGAGCCTCTAGACATGAGTTTAATAAGTAATATGAATGTAAGACGAACATCAGCTTTTACAAAAAACAGACAAGATCTTGATCAACTGGAGGAAACCCATAAGTTTCTTAATGTCTCCTTCCTGCTCAGGAAAGCAAGAGCCTGACTGAGAATTGGATGAAGCATGAGCTCTGATGATGACAATAATCTTGGCCCCATACCTGAGGCCAGTCTGTTGTGTTAGCATTGGTGGAAGTGTCCTGGTGTGTCTGACCAGTCACCTTCAGAGAGGGATTAAAGCCCAAAGCTAGTGCATGAGCTAGCGCTAGTCAATTGATGAATGAGAGCATAGCTCTGAAATGGATGTCTCCTAATTTGAGGTTGTGTGTGTATATCCAGAGGATTTCCTCCACTCACATCTCCAGTCATTGGAACCCCTCCCTAAGCCAGGATACGCCTGCTCTCTACACTTGTATCCTCTCTTTTCACATGAGTGGAAAGTGCTCCTCCACATGAAAATACAATCCCCCGCAAAGTTGTAAAATGTGCCCACATAAATCTTTTCTTTTGGAGTTTGAATTAAGAAAGGTTTCACTGGAGCAGAATACATTGAAAAGTCAGTCTGCTGTCTCTTTCACAGTCTTTAAGGCTCAAGTGTTTTCACCTTCACCAGAAATCCCCATCCTACTAAAAACAAGGAAAAAAGAAAAACCCCTGCTCTCTTCCTCTGAAAGAGAGAGAGCAAGAAGGAGAAAACGTGCACAGGTTCTCCCTCTCAACTCTTAGCTGCCTGGCCTGAGAGCAGCTGCCTCTGTGTGGCTGCCAGCAGCACAGCACAGAGCAGGGTTATGGGCCAAAGAACAAGATGAATTTTATGAACCATACTGAGTATTGAGGCCAAAAGCCAAAAAGGAGGAAGAGGGAAGGGGGGAAAAAATCAACAATCCTCTTACTGTTTGATTACAGAACTTTGCTAAGGAGCTAATTAGCACTGCTGCAAAGCCCCTGGAAAATACAAATACTGGCTTTTCTCACAGTGCCCGGGTTCTTAAGGGCCGGTCAGGAATTAAAGGCACCAAGAAATAGACGCAGAGACCAGTCATTGGGGCTCTGGACAGTCACCATGTGATCTAATGTGTACTGGGTGGGGGAGGGGTAGTGCTGGAGCACAAGAGAGGATCCAATTTGAATTCTCTTAAAACCCAGAGTGAATATACTGATTTTGTACACATTTTTGCATTGTTGGGGAAACTCAGAGACATGATCAGTATATTCCAGAAATAGAGAAGCAGCTTTTAACACACATTTCTTTGTCAGCTCCCTTGTACCCCACTGTGTTGATAACTGAGGTAAGAAAGCATTTACATATTGAAAATCAGGGGAGAACAAGCCAGTCCCCAGGGTCATCAGTGATAAGTAGAGACTGGGATTAACATCAAGAAAGGCTCAAACTGATTTCCTTCTCCCTCCCTGCCATTCTCAGAAGCAAACTACTTGATTTAATTTCACATTTTGACAAATAAGAGCTTCTCACATCATGGGGATACATAAGCTGACACCTGATATCTGACCATTTCTTCATGACTGCCTGAATATTTGCCTAATTTCACTCCTTCTTACCATTTGATGATAGCCACAAATATCAATAGAGTTTTTGCAGTTTGATCAATGATTGCTTCCCAACTACTGTTTTGTAAGGAAGTTATATAGGATATATACATTTCTTAGTTTCATATTTTAGGGGTGTATATTGAGCTTTAGATAAGCTGTGCAGTACACCTAGAACATTCTTCAAATTGTTCCACCATATATCAACCCCCAAAATATACAAGATCTATTAATAAAACTATAATTAACCATAGCTCACTGTTCAAATCACAACATTAGAGAACTGATGTGATAACACAGTCAGTGAAATATGGTTGTTGAGTAATTTGAGTCTAAGGTCAGCTGTAATGAAAATACCAGAGTTTAACCATTGAGGTCATTAATTACATTTCAATGATTGCATTAGAGCATTTTGCCTTTTTCTTCTATCCCACTTCTCTCTTGTTTATGCTATCAAGGCCTACGCAGACATCAGATCTGTACAGGCAAACTGACTGCAAAGAGTATGCCAAAAAGCATTTAAATGAAATGTGTTAATAACGTTCCCTTAGAGTTTTATCATGTTTTGCAGAATGCTTTATATCTTAATTGTACAGACTTTATTTTTAAAGTGACTTCATCATTCATGCCACCTATAAAATATGAAGTCGTGATGTTGGCTTTATGAGATTAAGATTTTCCACAATATCAAGCCAATTCCATTCAGTAGCCAGGCAATCAACGCTAAGAAAATGAATCCTTTTATAACTGCCATGGAAATGAGGCAGAAAACTGTTCTCCCCCCAAAAAAGAAAAAGGACAAATGTGATAAGAAGGGTTGATTCTCTAATTACATGGGTGGCACAAATTTGATTTATTTCCTGTATTCTTGTCATAAGAACATGGAGAGGGGTTAGCCCCTTGGCAAGTTCTAGAGCTCCCTCAGTCTGATTTTGCCTATGAAATAAGAATGAAAAAGATCACCCTTACCAATCATAAAAAAATATAAAGTGAAATAATGCATCTAATTTACCCTATAGGTAAAATGTAGACTGTAAGAAATGTAAGGCATTATTGCAAAGAGATTTTGGTCCCCTCAAAAGAACCAATGAATGCAGGTAATGATCCTCTGACTACACTTCCATTGAAAACTCGAGCGTGGGGGACACTGATCTCAGGTTAGGACACATAAACATTCTTCGTGTGGGTGATCTGTTAATGATGAGGCCTCTCAGGAAGGCCACACTCTATTGACTTAAATGCTTTCATCTAGAGGATTTAGCAGCAAACAGCATAACTCCTTCCACCCCTAAGTTTTCATGTTTCTATTTGACAAAGCATCAACATGACTTTGGGGGGAAAATTCCCACTGTTAATAATTGTCTAAACCTTTAGCATGCCCTCTAATAGCTTTTTTCTCTGTTTTTATTAATCTGTGACTGACAGTGTTGTGAAAATGAAGGTTGTTGCAAAAAGAGGTCCTTTTGGGGGAGTACAGCATTAGTAATATTTAGTTCCCTAAGAAGGCCAAGGCCAAGTCAGCTTTTTTCAATTCCACTAGTTTGATGTCTTCCAGGGAGCATGTCTTGATTCCAAGGAAAAGAATCAAGGACTCTGTGCAAGGACATAGCTTTCACATCAGACTCCTTGCTGTTGGCCTATTGCTCTGTCCAAGATGGAAATGGCCCAGAAATTCATGAAAGGGAATAAACAGCCTGTTCTAAATACCCTTCTGAAGCCATTCAGAAATCAAACAAAATCAAAGCTAATGTTTCTAAGCTATTATCACAGCTATACTAACTTTTAAAAGGAGGCTTAGAACTGGAAAAGAAGGAAAATAAACAGAAGGGGAAAATATTGAATAAATTGGGCCCTGGGAAGCAAAAGAATCAATCTCTACTTACATGTGCTGCAGGTTGCTGTTTTTCAGAAATGCTTTATAAGCCACAAATTTTAATCCAGAATCCACAATTGTCCTATGAAAACACATAATTGCATGCATATTAGAACTAAACAGTGAATGTCTGCCTGACCAGAGTAAAGCACACAAAAAAACTCTGTGATGGTGTACACAGTCTGAGTACTCACAGGTTTTTCAGTCCTACATAAGCTTCAACATCATCTTCATTGATGACTTCTAACCTTTTCTGATTTGCAATAAAACTGTAATAAAGCAGAAGGGGCATATCAGTGACTTCAAATGTACACAGTAAAATAAAATGATGGTTAACTTCCATCTACCCTCACCAAGATGCCCAGGGAGATCCTTCAGCACCCACCCCAGCCCTCTCATGTTCTTTTGATACAGCAAGGCCAAAAATACAGTATGACTGAGAAGAAACCATAACTGACCAGGTTTTATGGTCAACGACCAGTTCATCAGGTTTCTTTCTTTTTTTTTTTTTTTTTTTTTTCCTCATTTTTTGCTGACCTTTCACTTAATACATTCAGTTTTCTTTCCCTTTCAGGGTATCTCACCAGTATATAAAGGTGAAAGTACCTTGGAAATATACCTACTACCTCTCAACCGTGTTCCACTTTTATGAAGACAGTTGCAAGGATGTTGGTGTTCTCACAATATAAGAAAAGTCACATCTGCCCTCACATTCCAAGAGATGCAGTCACTTGGACTTTTACCTCTTAAAACACTGAGGTGCATTTCCCCTCCCCATTCCACCACTCTCTGCTCCACTCTCTCTGTTTTTCTAGCTTAACATCTTCTCCTTTTGAGTTTGTCAGTAACAATTCCAGTTTTTTTCCTTTGAGGAACCACATTTCACAACGCCAACATGATCTTTAGTGCCTTCACTTCCCACACCTCAAACCCTCAACAGAGGAGTAGACTAATGACTTAGGCTAAACAGAGAACTCTATCCCTTTGGCCATGATGATTGGCTTAGAGATATGAAAGTGACCTCAATTAGACCAATGAGAATCTTCTCTAAGATAAAGCAAGTGAATGCTGGAGGAGAAAGAGTTTCTCTTGTTCTCTAGAATCATAGCTGAAGAATTACATAGGCCTATAGTTCCCAATGTAAAATTTTCTGCTATAAGAAAGAGTGTCCAAGAATAAAGTCAGCCGAAGGAAAAAGAGCTAAGTTGACATAAAGACAGACAGAATCCTGAAAACACCACTTGAGCCTTTGGATCCTTTGCTTGCAATCAGTCAAGTCTCTAGTAGTATAAATATAACTATTAAAATTACCATACTGGAATTTCCTATACTCTACCTTGTACTATAGTTATCTAAGTACTTGTCTCTATTAACTTTCTTGAATCACAATCTCCTTGAAGATAGAACTGTTTTATAATTCTTAATATTCACTGCAGCACCTAGCTCAGTCCCTTACACAAGGTAGGTACTAAAGGAAGGAAGGGAGGGAGGGAGGGAGGGAGGAAGGAAGGAGGGTGGGAAGGAGGACAAACATACAGATAACACTTTTATGAACATACTACATGAAGATATGCAAGGATGAATTTTCCCATCTCATTTTTGAAAATACTTAAGATGCATAATATATTTCAACTAAGACACTAAAAATGTAACCCTGATGTTGACAATGAGTTAAAATGATGACAAATACATTAAACAAGGAGAGAGAGAATGCACAGTATCCTTTCTACTTAGTAGGAGAAAGAAAATTACAGAATGTACGGCAAAAATTCAGGAAAATTTTTAAAAATAAAGATAGATAAATTCTCTGAGGGTACAAATTACACCACAGAGAAATAATTTCAATCATTCATCTGTTGCATTAAAAAAAAGCACCCTCCAAGATGGAAGGGTACCTTCCTTTCAACCATCTTGGTCCTGTCTGACACTCGGGCCTCACACTTCATAAATGTGCAAGGAGATCAGTAAGTGAATAACAGTCGATTCCTTCTCTCCTCCCACCAGACACAGAAGACAGAAGTACTTCAACATTTGAACTGAATGCTCAATTTTCAGCATCAAGGTTTTATGAAATGTTTCAAAACCATCACAGTTTAGAGACATTTCCCAAGACTTTCATTGCACCAACATTTTAGTAGAGAGCACAATGACCTCACTCTTGTAAATCATCTCACAATGAAAACTGCTTCCAAGAGACTGCAATGATATTAATGCTTTCTTTATGCCACTGGCAGCAAAGTGGTAGAAAACGTGGGGAAGGTTTACTTTGTAGTTACCATCAGGACTTCCAGACAAGCCTGTCCTCTCCTTCTTGCTGAGTTAATTAACATTGTGCCTATTATTGCTCTGAAATCACCTGAGAATTCTGCATTCTCTTTACCTGGATCGTTGCTGTATCCTCCAAGCATTATAAGTGTCTGACATGCTATGGGTACCTAAGCAACATCTATGGCACAAATCACCTATCTTTAACTTTTCTTTTAGCTATTTATGCCCTTTGTTTTATTTTTATTTCATTTAACCAGATATTTAATTTATAAACTTCTCAGTCACATTCAATAAAATACAATAAACCAACAATTAGACAAAGAAGAAAGAAAAGCAAGAGTAGAGACATCAATGGGCCAGGAATTAGGTTTTAAAACACATTGTTAGGAAAGGACCAACATTTTAATTGTAAGCTTTCTGGTCACCAACAACCAAGAAAGAAGAGGATAAATTTGATCAGAGATAAATTCACAGTATTCATGAGATGAAAAGAAGCCCAAACATAATGCACAGAAAGGCACAACAAATTGAACACCAGACAAGAGAGTTTGCTGAAAATAATCAAAAGAACCATACAAAATTATAAAAGTGGATACTTTTCCATGGTGGGGAAGGAATGCCTGAGAGCTTGTTTGGAGGTTCTAGCAGGGGAGTGCAGTGACTCATATACCCTGGACCGAAGAACGATCCTCCTCCATTGGGGATGGTCATCCTCTTTGACTGAGCGAGCAGCTTCAGGAGGGACACACCTGGAGCCATGAGGAAGGAAGGGGACACCCACCTAGCCAGCCAGATAAGCTGAATCAACCCTGGAGATGAATGGGATGACAGATGTCACAGCCAGATCTCCCTCACATCCATGAAATACCCTGGCTACATGTTTCTGCTGGTCAAAATGGAAAGACTAAGAGAAGTGCTGGCTTTAAAGGTCTGCAGTGCTCCTCCAGCAGTCCATTCTAAAGCTCCCCCTGGTAAGTTACCACCTGTAGAGACATCTACAATTTATTTGTGAGCTATACAATGCTCATGAAATCTGTCACCTAAGAAACTCTTCTTAGTTATCACTGAGTGAGGAATCATGCATTAGAGAGGAAGCCAGTGATGTGATAACTGACAATCCACAAAGGAAAATCTCAGTGGCCAAGAACCCCATGAACAGCTGCTCATCTCACAAGGAATTGGAAATGAAAATTCAATCAACAGTGACATACATTCTTCTCCCACTAGATTGCCAAAATGTTTAACGTCTGACAATATAATGCGTTTCTAAGGACGTGGGAGTTTCTCTCACACTGTTGGAGGGAGTGTTACTTGGTATAACCACTCTGATGAACACTTTATATCCTGAAAAAATATAAATTGGCACCCTTTGTGGCCCAGGAATTCTGCTTCTAGATATTCACCTGAGAGAAATTCTCACACATAAACACAAGGGAAAAGATACAAAAATACTCACTGTAAGACAGTCAGTAGAACATTACAGTACTCCTTATAAAGGAGACAAAAGTCAGAAACAACCCAAGTATCCATTCAATAAGAAATGGCAACATGAAAAAAATAAGACATGTTAAATACATAAATTAAATTGAATCAATTTACATATTTGAGCAGAAAGACATAACCCTGATAAATTCAGAAAATAAGCAGAATTAAATACTGATGTGCACATATAATATAAAACAATTTAGGTAGAAGCTTAAAATACACAGAAACAATGCCACATAGTGTTCACAGTACATATGTAAAGTATAAAAAGGCAATTGCAACGAAGTTTGCCTTGGGAAAGAAGAACAGGACTGGGATAAAGAAACTTACACTGTTAAATGATTTATTTAATTAAACTGCTCATCTACTCCTATAATTAAAAGATTAATGATTTGTAAGTGAAAAGACAAAATATTAAAGAATCGGTTCTGCATATAAGTACATGAAGCATATCATTATGCTTTCGTGAATTTTTTTTAATTTATGAAGAGGAAAGAAGGAAAAAGGGAGGAAGGAAGGGAGGGAGGGTGGGAGGGAGGAAGGAGGGGAGGAGAGAGAAGGAAAGGAGGGAGAGAGTTGGAGAGGGAGAGAGTTGGAGAGGGAGAGAGTGGGAGAGGGATAGAAAGGAAGAAAGCAAAGAGGAGACAACTATGCAAATGAAATGAGTACAGGAAAGCTGGACCGGAGGCTTCTCAATGACTCAGTGGACAGACCCACCTGAAGTCAAGTTCCTGTTTCCCTGGACCACCCAAATGGCCAGTAGTCTAACAGCTTTCTGCCCCTGGCCCCAGAGCCTCTGGGAAAAACAAAAGGCTAAGGTGCATGCTGCACTGCCCCCTCCTGGTGGCTTCCACCTGCCTCCAGGAAAGTCTGGCAACATAAGGCCTCTCTAACTTTCCTGTCTCAGACACCAAAAGCAGGAGTCCCTCAGAAAACCATTCTCCATGAATTGCCTGGGAACTCTGAAGGCTCTGCCTAACAGAACAGTCTACAAAAAGGCTTTCACTCTCCAAGGAAGCAGTGGGAAAGGCCAGCATTTTGGCACAGGCCTGTCAGGAGCTTTTTCTCCATGACAACCTCTAGCTCCTTTGACCCATGCCCAGAGTTCTAGAAAGCTCAGGACCCAGAGGGTTTTAAACACAGCCCCTCCTTCATAGCCTGCCTCACAGGAATCTCACAGGAGGTCAACAGAGCTCTGTTTCTTCACAGAAAGCTAACCATCTTCCCCTCTGACCTGCAGATGTTGACTTCACTCCCTTTTAGGTCAGTCAGCAGCCTTCAAATTGTGACAAAAAGACTGGGGTAGACTGGGAGTTTTGCAATGTGATAATCTTAAGAATTTCTCTCACTTACCTCCTTAACCCCACAGGACCACTGACCCTTCCCTCACTAGTCAACAGTCTGTCAAGAATCACTATTGACTCTGACGCCCAAAATATGCCTTCCTCCATTTTCAAGCCCATACATAAGACACTTGCTAGAATCTCAGAGTTGGTTTTACTGCTCTTTTTCATGT